GCCCATGACTTTCCTTATTAAGCCAAGTGGGTCTCCCAGCCCTTTTGCTGCCTTTCTTATGAAAAGGAATGGACTTCCTTTGTGCTCCAAGGATTGCATCCTTGAGGAATGACCACTCTTCTTGTACTCCCTTTCCCACTGGATCATCTCTGACTGTTAAAGATCATCTCTGACATATTCCAAAGAAGAGAAGCAAAAATTATCAGAGATGTAGAAAACAAAACATCCTTTTTTCCCTAATATCTTTCCTCATAGTTTTAGTCTAGAGAAGACTAAGAGGAGACATGGTGACAAGTCTTCAAATCCACAGAAGGTTACAGCAAAATAAAGAATAATAATCTCTCTCTATTGACAAGGGGACAGGTAATGGGCTTAAACTTCAAAGGGAAGATGAGAAGTTAGGAAAAAGCTTTCAAACTGTAAGGATATTTAAGCACTGGAATAGACCAAGGATGTTGTGGAATCTATCACTGGAGGCTTTTAAGAATGAGACACAAATGTCAGTAAAAATGTAGTAGGTACAATTAATACTGCCTCAGAACAGGGAGGAAGAACCAGAGGACCTTTTACACTCCAGTGCATCCCTGTGGGTTGTCTTTTGGTCAATCATCTTTTCCTGCTGTTGAATCTAGCCACTCATACCTGTCTATGTACTAATAGTCTTCTTGATGTCACAGGAAGAAAAAGCTGAAGTATCTGATGAATTGAGTTGGTCACAAAGAACTAAATCTTATTCCACATATTTAGTATCCAAGGGTGATACTATTCTAGCCTGCTTAAGTTCCTGAAAAACTGTCAACATAACTTAGGCAGCCAACAGAGTTTTCTACATATTTTGACATCCTCTTCAGTAACTAAGCATGTCAAATAAAAGGCTCGAAACTTCCAAAATGAATATGAAGGAGATAAGCAGAATGGCCTTGACCCTTAAAGCCCTGGAGAAGAAAAAAAAAAGAAAAAAGTGAGTGTCCTCTGTCCTGGTATTAACAAGATGCAACTTAGCAGGCAGGAAAATTACTAGCCATCACCATTAAAGAGTTTTAAGTAGAAATAGTCGACTACCCACAGAGAACATAATCAGAAGGTTTAACATCACTGAGCCTGTGAGGTTTAGTTTTTAAAAACTGTCAAAAAATCCTAAAAACAGTCTGAAAGAGCAAGTAAAGCACTGAAGAAGTGGCTTACCAAAAGCTCCTAAAACCTCCCTAGTATCTGTTAGTAGGACCTGCTGAGCACAGCAAGCCACATCTTTAAAATTACTACAATTCTAAATCTTCTGTAATGTTTTCTTTTGATACAACTTCTAAAGGATAATAGGAAACTACAGTAAGAGCAGGAGAATGATTCTCAATCATCAACTTTTAAGCACTCTGAGGGAGTGTGGATAAGATAATATATTATTCTTAAAAGCATATTAATTCTTAGAAAGAAGCACAAGTCACAACAATAAGAAAAATTAAAGTGGGAGGAAGCTACTGTACAGAGGACTATTGGAAAAGTAATGGTACAAAAATAAATAAATAGCAGAAAGGGGAGCAAGAATCTAAGGGAGGGGACAAGAGAGAACTGAGAATATGGAAAAAAAGAACTTCTCATCCTGAAACCCCTAGAATATATAGAAGTTTGGGAAAAGACCTGAAAATACGCAAAATGAGGAAAAAAGGGGGCAAGTGGGAAAGGGGATGCACCACCGCAACACAAACTAGAATATGAGTAAAGTGAAATTCAATATATGAAAAAGTCTAGCTAACAACATTTGGGAATGATACTTTTACACATATGGAATGAGATGAGCGTATAAGGAAGTAAACAATGCCAAAAAGGGATCCAAGATACAAGAGTGACTCAAAGAAAGGTCACAACATATGTCAACAAGAAATAACTCAAATTTTGCTAGCCCAGGCATGGCCTTTATCCTTTGTGACACTGGCTTGATTCTACTTGAAATATCACACACTTTCAGCAAATCAAACAGGCAGATACCAAGTTAAAAGGAACAGTAAAATAACAAAAGTGAGTAAAGGTAAAGAATAAAAGTTGTAAATACTTAACTCAACAAAATAACTAAGGAAGACAGCTATTTGTAATGTGTAGACTCTCTAAGGAAGGTAGTATATATGTTGGCTCAAGGGAGAGGTACACTGAACAACAGCATGAAATTGAGAAACAGTAATTTCAAAGCAAAAACGGGATAAAATGTATTAACAGGGAGACATCCGACTGTAGAATAATTTCCCAGAGGAAATGTTAGAATCCTAATTGCAAGTAATTTAGAACTTCACTGGACAAAACTTTGGGATGTACAGAAAATATCAACATCTTGTATTCAATATAATAAAAAAAGCACATAGTGTTTTGTTGTGTGGGGTTTTTTTCTCTTAATAAAGAGCTAAATACATTCAAGCCCTCACACTATCTTCCAGATTTTCTTTCCTTCAGCTACAAAACCTACTGTTATTTCCCACCAAATTTGTTACATATTCAAAAGCAAACCGTTTTCAAACAGTGAAAGAATTTCACTGATGAAAATTCAGATATTGCCAAAATACACAATAAAAACAAGCAATTCCTGAATTTTACTGTATCCATGATACAGTGGCCACGTTTGACTTCCTATGTATTGTCACTTTAAAAACAAGAGAATAGCGTTTCTAAGTATTTGCATTTTTTGAAGTCTACTTAATGCAACCAGAAGATTTAGGTTACATTTTCATTAAGATATTGACAAGACCCTCCTGAAAACGACTGTAATCTCTAGCCCAGCTCCCCACCTGCTGCTGCAGGCATAGGCCCAGGGGATGGGGCCACCTCCCTGGTGTGACACACACTCCTGGAGGGGCAGGGGGGAAACTGCACCCCGCAGATCTGTGCATGGGGTGGGGGTAGCTATGGATAGTAAGAGTAACGGTGCAGGGTTGTGCCCCTCAAAGCTACCACACATGCAGGAGGCGCATTGCCAGGGAGCCTGGCCCCCACCCACCCAAACGAGGTGCCTGCGGTCCCACACACCCCACTCCCTGCTGGTGCCCTAGGCCTGCCCAACTCCCCCCCACCCCACCCCACCACTAACCTGCAGGAGTTGCTCTTCAGGCTGCCTGGGGCCATGTGCATGCACATGATGCTCACTGCCTGACTGCCCTTCTCCCCCTCCCTTACAGCCCCCTGCAAGCTGGAAATCTACCAGCCTCCAGAGGATTCCTCACAAACCTTCAAAATCCCCTGGCTTCTCTGGTAAAATGATCCCAAAAAACTGAAAATTGAGATTCTAACATGAGCGATTTTTACATGTAATAATATACAAATGGTTTTGGTGTTCTCATATCGATTCAAATAAGTGGCTGATTCTATTAACCAGAGAGTCTATGAAGCAGAATCCATTGTATCATTTCAAAATTTGTATTTGAGCAAAGTCAACTAAGGAAAGCTTCCACATAATAACAGATACTTCAGAAAATGTGAAATAAAAAGATGACATTGCAAACAGTTTTACTAATGTAAAACGCTACTATCTGGTGACTTACTATTAATCAGTAACTGTTGCAGCATTTTAATGGGGTACATATTTGGTAAACTTGATAATTTAAAAACAATCACCTTTTCAATAAAACAAAGTTTAAATAGCAGATTCTGCTTTTTTATTTAAACTGCCTTTAAATTATAAAGATTTCCACTGCCACTATTCCCTGCTGATATTTATAAAGGTCTTTTTAAGAAAGAAACTGGATAGGACTAAGGAGCAAACTGTTCATTGTGTAAGAAAAGTAAGTGACCCTGAACCTGTCAGGCAAACAGAATACGCACAATATCCTGTCAAATTCAGAAGGTAAGCAAACAGACAACGTAAAACTTTAACCCTAATTTTAACTAAAGACATTTCAGAAAAGATTTCCACCCCCCACCCCCAAAAGGCATCTATTCAAGCTGTTCTTTTCAAGATGAGATGTAGACTACCTGCTCCAACTACCGGACCAAATTTGAAACTGACAGGGATATCAAGTCTTCTCTTGGAAGAGAAGAACATATTTCTCCTTTGTCCTGTTGAACCTAGTTAGTCCCACAGAGTCTCTTCAAATAATTTTTTGAAACCCGATCTCTTGGAAGGTGTTAATAGGCTTACTGCAACAGTAAAATTAATGAAAACATGAGTCCATTATAAAGATATCAAATGCAAGACATCGGATGCACTAAAGGAAAACTGGTGCACTGAAGGAAAAGAAAAATTAGTTACTTCCTCTTTTGTTTATAAGTTTTCAGATCTCACCACCTTTGCCCTGAAGAACTGACTTGTGTTTAAAACTTTTTCTGATCTATATTTCTCTTTTCAAGAGTTTTTAGTCTTTTATAGAAATGTGATGTTCTACATTTCTTACAAAACAGGGCATGGTGCTTTCAACAAGTCAGCAGGGTACTAATTATGAAATTAAATGGAAGAAAACATTTCCATACTTACTTTAAAAAAAGGTCTGAGAAATATCTCTCCTCTAGAGCCACTGGGCACCTATACATGTGTTCCAGGATGGGAAGGGGGGGGGGGGGGGGCGCACCCTAATTAGAGGGGCTCTAAGCATTGTCACAGGTCCCAGCCCTCCAGTGTATTCAGCAGCCCATGTTTCAAAATGATGGCGGGGGCACTTTAACTAAAGCTCATTTGACAAGGTTTAAAGTGCCCCCACCACCATTTTGAAACACGGGGATGCTCAATACACGTGATGGGGAGGCTGCTGGAGCGCACAGTCTGCTGTGACGTGCAATTAATTGAGTCTCCTGCTACATATGTTAATTAGCATGCAATGGAATAGAGGTCTGCCACATGTATAGGTGCCCACTGATACCTGACCTAGGCCAGTGAGCCTAAAAGAAAGGGCATTCGGGGAAAAAGGAGACATACATGGGCTACAAGTCCTACCTTTGCTCTGACATGCACTAGCTAAAGACAGGCCTCACCAAGGCATCATAAAAGCAGTGTCATGTTTAGAATACTTTCCTTCTTTATTACTGACCTTTTCTGCAGGTTTACAGCCATTTGGATGGTCCACTAACACAGGCAGTGGTAGGTATTAAAAACTGGAATGTTGCACTGTTGTAGAGAGCTGGTGGCAGGAACCATAAAATGGCAGACTGGACTAGGCTGCTCTGACATCAGTGCAGAAGATGTGAAAGAAGAGATTTCCATCCACAAGCCTTTTAGGCTGCCCTAAAGGAAAAAACAAAAATCAAGTTAAGCTCCGAGTTTCAGCTTTAAAATTGAGAGTACTTTAAGATGTGGCAATCCAAAGTTCTGAGCAGCAACCTTCATTGCCTCCCTCTGACCACAGTGTAAACTGAGTCTATTTAAAATGCTACAACCAGACTCAAAGGGATGTGACAAATGCTACCAAAATTTTTCAGCCCAAACTGATTTGCAGAGAGGCACTGAGAAAGCAAATATCTGAGTTGTACAACATTGTCTATACTTCTCTATCCAATCATGAACAGTCACCCCAGTTTACTGCTCTAGTTACAGGCTCCAAATCATTTTCTATCATAGCCTTATTTTTCACTTATTCAGTCCTAAAGACCACTCTTCTGGAAAGCTAAACTTTTCCATACTTGATTTAAGTTGACACAAGCGTAAGTTCTGAATAACATATCTAAATATGTTCAGCTGTTTTTGAAAGCTTTCACAATTCAATTAAAAAAGTACCAAAAAAAAGAAAGAAAGAAAAGCCAGCAAACAATAAAAGGTTACCTCCCCACAAGATCTTGTTTGCACTCCCCACCTGCTCTACCCTCTCTGTCCACATTACTCTTTTCAACCTAATGATAAACATTTTCAATTTCTTGTTGCAAGTGAACTAAACAAAATCCACAATGTACTGATTTAGCATCAGACAGAAGAAACTTGGAGCTGCAAATCATGAATCTTTCCATTTTTACTACAATGTTAAACTTATCTAAACATTTAATATTTTCAATATAGTGTGAACATATTAATTTATAAAAACAATTACTCTATTTTATTATTAATCTGATGTTTTGGCAGGTTTGTTTGGTTTTTTTTTTACCTGGGAAAAAAATAATGTATAAAAAAATTCTAAAGGGAGAAGCCAATAATAAACATGCAGAAAATCAGCATATCGAAGTTACAGACACTTGCTAAAGAAAGCTAAAAGGTGTTGGTGAAAATGGCGTTATCCATTGAAGGTTAATGTCAAGATAAATATTTCAAAGTATCCAACCAAGTAAGTAGCAAATAACCTAAAGAACAAGCTAAAGAATCCAACAATCTAAATACTCCAAAGATAATAATCGAAAGTAGACATATGATACTTGCAACCATGCTAAATTTTTCTATCACGGGGGGGGGATTCAGTGAGCAGCTTGATTCCATATTTGAGAAGCATGGTTATATCTCGATATGCTACCAATGAAAAACAAATGTTATTCTTTTTCAGTCTTTTAGGACTCTTAACTAGAACTAAGTTTAAAAATTGACCAAAATACCTCACACAATTGTTAATTTTCAATAAGTCTTGCAAAAATGGAGACATTTCAGAAGATGAGAAAAAAATATATAATTTTGGTAATATTCAAAGAGATAAAAAGAAATAAGGATCCATGCATCAGTTAGCCTGCCATCAATCCTGGAAATAAAAGTCAGAGAAAAGATAATACGGAATGCATATCCATCAAAAATTAGAGATCGTAACATAACAGCAGTAAACATGGTCCTAAGGAAGAAAGGACTGGCCAAAGATGTATGACATCGTTTTTGATTACATGACAAGTTTGGTTGTTAACTGCACTGACATAATGAAGACATCTCCAAAATGATGTCATTCATATATCTGACATTAAGTATTTAGCGTGGCCTATATTACTTAACTCTTCCACTTACATTTTGTTCCAGTATATTTAAAGCACTTTACAAATGTGGTATCATCTCCAGTTTTATATATGGGGAAAACCGGCACAGAGGTGAAGTAATCAAATCAAGATCACTCACCAGGCCACGACAAAAGGTAGGAACAGAATCTCGGCCTTCCTAGTCTCAGTGCAATACTTTAGTTTAGTCACTAAGAAAACTGCCTTAGGTTTCAGAGATCACAAAAGCCAAGAACAGTGAAATACCCAAGAGAGACACAAATAGTAGAATTCTAAAGAGCTCAACAAATACTATTCAATTCCTGTCAAAACAGTGGAAGAGGATATAAAGATACATTTATGGTAGAGTATGTGAACAAACTGGAAGAGAAGTAAACAATGGACTAGACAGTACAGCAGGCAGAACCTACCTGGAGCTTTGCTTACACAGACAGTCCGCAACTGATTAAGTATGATAGGCTCTTGTAAGTAACATGGATTTTAACATAGCAAAAACAAGGTCATGCATCTAGGATCAAAGAATGAAAGGAATATTTAATGGGAGACTGTGCCCTAGAAGAACAGTAGGTGGTTTTTTGTTACTACTGTTCGTTTTAAAATAAGACTTCAGTTGGTCATGGCAGAATACCAAAAGCTCCCCACAACACAACGCTGTTGGTAAAAGCACAAATGCAAGCCTCGAAAATAAATATGAGAATGTTATGTGGATATTTTAAGAAAGTAGAAAAGGTATACGATTTAAGACTTGGATAATGAAACAGGAAAATTTAGTCAGAAATATAGCAGTTCTTGAAAAAGGAATTTGGGTAATCAATCCTTGGAAGAATTCACCTAGTGATGTGCGCACGTGTGCACACACACACTTGTTCGAACAGAAGTGGAGATAAAAATAGGGTAGCCACCAATGCATACCCAGAAAACAGGACACCCCATTGGTGAAGGGCGGGGCCACCACCCCCTTTGGCCAATCAGCAATGAGGGACAGTGCCACCAATAAGAGGCCACCTCCCTCCCTCCCTGGCTGGCTCAGAACCCTGCTCCTCCTGGCTGTACACTAGACCACCTCTAGGCAGAGCCAACAGAATCGTGAAGACAAGTGACTGACATGTATTTCCACCAATTAACTGAAAAATAAGACTTTTTGCAGTCCAATTCTTATTCAGAAACAGACAGGGAACAAAGGATTTTAAAACAGGATGATCTAGTCTAGTATAAGCCAGGATCAAGGGCCACGCTAGGTAGAAAGTACCAGGCAAGGTTCTTCAGTGGACATGTCACACACACATGACCATACCACTTCCCCTATTCTTAAATTTATACAGATGCAGTGCAGAAACCTAACAATATGATTTGGTTAATGCTGTGTACACAAATGTACATAACAACTGAGCTAGATTTCCCTTAGAAATGTCACATTTTTCCAGGGAGGTTTTATCTATGCATCACAAGGTATTACTTTGCTTTAAGTATAGTTACATCATTCATATGCACATCCCATATTCCACCCAGCTTAGAGACTTTTAGTTAACAGAAACAGTGTGGCATGGTGCACCTGTGCTTTGCACGAAGGAACTAAATAGCACAGTAAAAAGGTAGCTCAGTTTACTTTCAACTACAGAATACCAAGTCACAGAACTTCAAGTAGGAGGGGTGTATGGCAAAGTGGTTTCCAATGTTTTTAGCCTTAACGCATCCCTCCATATCTTTTGAAACTTTAGAAACTTCCAAGTTGAGAATCGCTGAGCTAAAATCTAAAACCAAAAAAACTACGAAAGGGTGCCTTCAGGCTAAAAATAAGTAGGGAACCACTGATCTAGCCAGACGAAGGCAACAGGGGCAGAACCTCACCTCACTGTGCCCTGCTTTTTCTAAAGTTTGCCTCCTCCCTACTGCTGGTTTGCACTCAAGAGGGCAAATACAGCTCCTGCTGGGGCAGCTGCTCCTTCAGGGACTTGCACACCAGCAACTGGAGCCACATCCCTCCTACTGACCCTGAGAGCAAGGGGACAAGCTGGGCTGCCACCCATCCAGTAAAGCACACTGCCAGGAGTGTAGGAGTGGCCAGGGGGGCAAAGACAAGGAGCAGTCACGGGTGCCACTTGTCTGCAGGAGGCTGGTATGAGGAGTTTGCCCCTGATAGAGGGGCCAGGTTCTGTGGCACTAATGGAAGGTACTGCAGTTGAGAACCATTGCTAGACAACACTTCCAGGAAGCGTTAGTGACTAAGGTAAGTAGTTTTTTCACGTAACCTTCAGGATACATACTTCACTTTTCACATCACATCTGAGAGAGGTAATGCCAGTCTGAAAACATACACTGAAAGATGTAATACATTGTCTCCAAGTCATTATTCAAATAAATGTTTCTGCTCACCTTACCCACTACTCTGTTATACAGGCAGCATACCTACATTTGAGAGAACAGGATTTGATGTCCAACTGTTTCGCAGGAGGAATATCTTGTTACACTTTGTTTAATATAGAAGTCTTATTTATCATTATCTGTACTAAGCAGCCTAGAATGCGTTACCAGAAATATATGTACTATTCTCAGTTACAGCAAACACTGATGCACACCTGATCCTATTTATTGAGTTCAGAGGAATATTAATTTTGTTAATTCTTGATTACTTAAGATTTACAAAAGATAAAGATACCACAAAAATTTTAAAAACTGCAAGAGCAGAACAAGAGGTTTCCTAGTGGCCTGAATTCAGGAAAGATGCAGCTCTTTTTCAAGGCAGAAGCAGTTGAAAGAAACAGAAATAATGGGGATGCGCCCTGCCCTTTAATTTCCTTGATGTAACCCGTCAAGTACTCCAAGACTCACATGCACTGTGCAACTACACTGGCCAGAAGTCTGAGGTAAAAACAAAAAACAAACCCCCCCCCCCAAAAACAAAAACCACACACATGCCAATAATTCATAGATTCATAGATGTTAGGGTCGGAAGGGACCTCAATAGGTCATCGAGTCCGACCCCCTGCATAGGCAGAAAAGAGGGCCCAGCCAGATACCCATCTAACCTCCTCTTGAAGACCCCCAGGGTAGGGGAGAGTACCACCTCCCTTTGGAGCCCATTCCAGATTTTGGCCACTCCAACTGCGAAGAAGTTCCTCCTAATGTCCAGTCTAAATCTGCTCTTTGTTAGCTTATGGCCATTATTTCTTGTAACCCCCAGTGGCGCCTTGGTGAGTAAAGCCTCACCAATTCCCTTGTGTGCCCCCGTGATGAATTTATAGGCAGCCACAAGGTCGCCTCTCAACCTTCTTTTGCAGAGGCTGGAGAGGGCCCG